TTTCGTAATTTATTGTTTCATGTTTTACGTTTCATGTTTGATGTTTCACGTTTCATGTTTCTTTGATGTGCGGCCTGCCTTATATTGAACGTGGATGTACACCCTGTCGTATGATATCAATTAATCCTTGAAGTTGAAGGAGTTTCAATATGTTAACAATGCGTGAGTCCTTCTTTATTAGATATATCATTGGTAACGTCGCGTCGACTATGGTGTCAATTTGATTTGCCTCTTTCCTGAAACCGCCTTCGCGATTTTTGTTCTATTGAGATTACTCAACATAGAACTCTGCAATATGCATACGCATACGCATATGCGGCAGGTGAAATATAGTGAAATAAAGTATTTCTTTATTTCCGGAAATCGCTATGGTAATGTACAGCTCTACTGACGATTGGCGATAAAATATATTATTATGTAGTGAGCTTTTTAGGACATTTTGACATTCATAGTTCCTTAGGTAGGTAGGTATATCAGAAAATTATTTCTTTGAGCTGCCTGTGGTGATATGAAAATAAAACAGTTATATTAAAGAACCTTTGAAAGAATTTGGCTTTTACTGGTAAATTCTTGTTTACAAAGATCTTTTTATGACTATTTTATACGATGGTAATTCTACTGAACAGTAAAATATGTTTGTCAGTTTTCTTGAATAAAAATGAAAATTTCAAAACCAGCAATATTTTGCACCCCGACCGATCGACCGATCCTGAAAAAAACCATCAGAGTTTGGTTGAAACTTTTTTGTGAAGTTACCAGAGATTTCCTCGAATTCGTTATTTGTTGGAGGAAGCCAATAAACTGATTGTACACCCTGTATATAGCGTGTAAAAAAATATAGTTACACATATCCGGTACAGTTGTGAGCATAAAAAGTAGGACACTCGAATGACAAATCCTGTCATTTTTCGCTATTTTGGGTAAATCAGTATTTTCTATACAACGGATTTTTTGTAAAATATGACAATTGCTGTCATTGCCGACGGTGTAGCTGGTGAGCCCGTTTTACAATAGGAAAAATCGGGTGTCCCATTTCTTATGTTCACGACTGTACATGGGAAACTAGAAGGTTACCTTTTCAAGATTTTGTTATGTTGGGCCCGGGTTATTCAGTCAAACTTGCTGGTAACTATCTGGAAGATAAATTTACCTATCTACAATCCTATTGATCGGCAGATAAATTGCCGACTGATAGGATTCAACCAAAAACTCGATTACCATTACTTAGTTGGGAATCCTTTGTTAAGCCGATGAAGGTATGTACCTATACAATCCGTTTTTTGACCTCCTACAACAAATTAGGAATTCGAGAGGAAATCTCTGGTAATTTCACAAATAAGTTTCAACAAAAGCTTACAGAAGCGACCAAAAAAAAAAATCCATCAATACTCAATCCTACCAAACAATAGCCGTAGTCGATTTAAATTATGAACTAGTCAGAACGTATCTTACATGAAGGAAAATGCACGTATCATAAATGGAATGTGGATGCACCTTCGTACAATAAGTTTAAACTCCGTAAAGAAACTATACACAACCTTCTAGGTATCAAACAGAAAATCTAAATATTCCTTACAACGCAAAACTAGGTTCATTTGAAGTTAAAAGCCTGTTCACTTTAATTCCCATTGGATGAACTATAACATTATTTTAATTAGTCTAACAGAAACATCCCATTTACAACCTTCGGAAGAAATGGAAATTAAAATGTTAGCCCTATCTGCTGCAACAATATTTCCAGTTGAAGAACAAATGTTGTTTTCAGAAAGTTGATTCACCAATGGGTCGTTTACCTACCTATTTCTCATTTATTGGCGGTAGGCCGAGATATTCGGGAATTATTTTGAGATAGAGCTTATTATTTAAAAGCAATGAACTAGGTATGTGGATTAGGTTTGATGTGTTTTGCATTTGATAGAATACAGAAAGTAATTTTTAAACTTCCCAAGTTCATCTAATCCCACAATTCAATTTATGATTGGAAAATAATGTAGGTAGATACGTATTTTATTTCCCAGAAAAATTTTATCCGAAGCAAAACTGTGGGTCACCGTCTCAAAAACAACGCCTCTAATCAATATAAAGTGTCGCATCAGTACAATAACTGAAATGGCTTCTTCGTTTTTGTAGAGTTGACGACATCCTATGTTTCCTGTGTCTCATGCAAAATTGATTGCATCTCTTGCCTGAACACGCGAATAAAAAATACATGAATGTAGAGAAATTTTGAAGGCCTTTAAGTAAAAACAGAGAAAAAACGTGCTAAAAAAGTGGAGAAAAGTTACAACAAAATTCATTAGGTAATGGTCATCAAGAGTTAAAAAAAAAAATGAAGAATATCTACAGGGTGTACCATTTAAAACGAAACAGGTTGAATATCTGATGCCACGTTTATTTTTTTTTTAAATCGCTCGTACACGTAATTTGATTTTCAAAGGGGGAAGTTTTCTGTAACCATCTTTAGCACTTCCACTTTAACCTTCTAGGCGGGGTGGAACCAACCCTTACTATTTAAAATGGAACAAGGGGTCGAGTGATGCCTCTTTTAAAAGAGCGTTCAATTCTCTGTCATTTGAAAAAAAATTTAAAGCTCTTTTAAAACCAGGTATCACTCGATTCCTTGTTCCATTCGGAATGGTAAGGGTTGGTCCCACCCAAGGAGAATATACAGCTGTTTGAAGAGCCTACGTCAAGGCGAGAAATAACATGCTATACCTACGTCACGGTCACAACTGGTATTTTGGCGTGGGGGGGATATATTACATACAGGCCTCATGAGGATAGACCATCCTGTAGTAGTAGTGTGTATCAATGCTTGGGTCCCACCCCCTAGAGGGTTAAGTAAGTGCTAAAAACGGTTCAAATACTCATACAATCAAATAACGTGTACGAGCGATTTAAAAAAAAAAAAAAATAGAAGTGACATCAGATATTTAGCCTGTTTCGTTTTAAATGGTATACCCTGTATATTATGTTCAAAGAGAAGTATTACCTATTTTTATTTTCCCAGGCGAAGAAAATATGAGGGGAATGTCAGGATATTACCGAACAGAAAAAGATCTAAGAATAGAAATGACGAACATAGAAAAAAAAAGAATATGGCGGGCCCGATGGGCTCGTCATCAGTATAAAGGATCCAAATTCTCAAAAGTGGTTTTTTAGACTCATAGAACCATTCCTGATTTAGATTTTGAGTATTATAAGTCCTTTGGGCACAATTAATTTTTTTGAGAAGCCAATAGACATCCAGACAAAGGTAATAATACGGAAACTTCATTAGATAAAAAAAGACACAGAACGCTCATTGCGCAAGACGAGGCAAAACGTACCAAATTATATTAGACTTACGTATAGTAATCTGTTCTTCTTATTTGCACGGGATAAAAAGGGAAGGAGAAAAACTGCGTATTGTGCAATATATTTGACAATAAAAATTTCAAACAATTTTTGAATGTCACTTGTCAAGCTATGTAAAGTTGAATATCAACCGTACTTTTATTCTTGTCAGACCACGGGCAATGAACAAGGACGAGGAGATGCCCAGCGTGCAAAACGAATACCTCACACCTGTACTAGCTAGCCAATAAAGAGGCATTGCCTCGTGTTGCGCGCGCATACCAGGTAAACATAGATAGGTCTATTTAGGCTCCAAATACTTGAGAAAAAAATCTAATTTTCCACACACTTTTATATGCTATAATCTTGAATTGGTATCGAGCCACAATAAAATTTAGTGACCCCAACTAACTTAAACTAACCCAAAATAGTCAAAATTCAAATTGAGAATAGTTTTGGTGTTGATACAAATTGAATACCCCGAGGAATACCCTTATTTACCCTTCAACTCCTGCATGTATTCCAAGTTCACGTGACATAATTATTGCAAATATTGGGTACCTACATTCAGAAAATAGAGCATTGAAACTAAATCTATTAAATATGGAAAAATATTTTTCGGGGATCTAGATTAGTACCGAGCCCTTCGGGCACGCTACAGCAGTTAGTTCATACAATAATTAGGCTTTTCAAGTTCGTTAAGGAATAGTTTTATGAGAGCTAAAAAATAATTTGGATCCTAAACTTGTGCCATTTGACCATTCTGTAGTTACAGGGCACACCTCCCTCCGTAAGAATTGTGATTTCCAGTTGGTCCCGAACCCTTCAGGCACGCCACTGGTCCTAGAGGAGTCACTTGATAACTAACTAACTATCACCTATCACTTACCATGATCTAAAAATCTAAGATTCTATTGAGTATTTCAACACTAAATTTAACTCTCAATAGCTACGTAAAACTATTTATTGCAAGGGACTAAGAAAATAGCTGAAAGTGTAATTTTTTAAGAATAAATATTTTTACATTTGAGAAGTAAGAAAATACAATATGGCGGTATTGTATACAAACACCTTTTCAACCTTTTATTCGACTAAAAACAGTTTCCATGTAGCCTTTTTAAAAATAAAAACAAATACCTATGATTAAAAAATTGCTGATGATTCAATGGATCTTAGAGTCATTGATTAATTTAATGCATATGGAACAACAATTTTCAAAACATATATATTTTTTTTATCCACAGCTTTGACCATTTCAAGTAGGTAGGTAGGTACCTATACCAAACTACTATAAATGAACAATGTATGTTCCATAGACAGGTTAGTGAAATAAAACCTGAAAGTGAATCACAGGATGACCAACTCATGCATTGGTCAAGTTTTGAGGTTTTTATGGCACTCACAGTTCCAAAATTAACAGTTTAACAGTTACTTATTGAATTCAAATTTCTTGCCAAAATGCCATAGCCCGCAAAGATAAAAACAAAAAGACTTCATTATACCTAGTGCACTTTTGCATCTACCATTAATCTGTCAAAAATGTATCCATAATGGACTTCATTCAAATATGACCTGACACCTTAGCTCCCATGGAGCTATAATAGCAAACCAAATCTTGACCAAAGAACAAATTTAAAAATCTAGTTAACTCCAATTGGACTTACTTTGGTTTTAATTTTATTTAATGATGACATATTTCCACATTTAAATTCATAAACACTATGATGCTGCTCATAAAGATCATCAACTCAACTTCACTTTACAATACTGCCGATCAATACTAGACTAGAATATTTCCCCAAAATGTCGAGAGAATGCATGACCGCGCAGAAGCGGACGAGCAATCCAACGTCCAAGAAGTGGAGCATGCTAGGATAATGATAAAAGGATATTAAAAAAAAACTTAAATTCCTAAAGTACCTACCTACCTGAAAAAAATAAACAAAATTGGTAAATACACCTGCTTTCTGTAGACTTAAAACTGCTATAAAGAGATTTGTTATTAATTATTTTGATATGTAGGTACAGAACGTACACATAAACAAAAATTGTTTCTATGGCTGAAAGTTTACAGGATCCTTTGCATGATTTTTAAGATGGGATTTATTTTATTAAAATTCTGTTGAGTGTCGCCCAAACGCAGAAATTATTCAAATATTATACAGGCGTTATTTTTTGTCTACAACGTTTGATTTCAACTGTGGAATTATTAATGTTATGCAATTTCACCAGAGATAAGATTAGAAACCAAATAAAGAACACTCAGTAATATCCCGTCCAGTTCCAATTCCTATGCTTACGGTATGTACGGATGGATAGATTTGAGATTTCATGCTAAACATTTCAAGAATTTTATGAAATGTATTTCAAATTTTCGAAATACATAATACCTATATTGAACATTGGAATTTCTTTTCACTGCATGGAACTTATTAAGTTTGTCACCTCCGTTCTTCACATAAAAGAAATAAAGATTATTACGGAATTGCTCCGAGAGCTCGGGGCCAGATTCTAAGAGTCCAGTTGTTTACGACTAACTCTATAGCGCGACTTTCGGGAGAATTCCATTGTGAAAGAAAAACATGTTGACGTTTAGGAAGGGTTTTAAGGAATTGTGTTCGAGAAAACAAGTTCTTCTAAAGAAATCCCGAATACAATTTTCTCTTGAAAAGCGCTTAGGTAGTGGGTATGTAGTTAGTTTAAATACGAAGTATGTTGTGTACGGTTTGATAAAAGCGATAAGGGATAAGTGAATTTCCATAAAGTCAATAAAAGACAAAAGTTGTTATTGTTTGTAAAGTGAGTTTACGTGGACCCAGAATCCGTGACAATTTGGTTTCAGAAGTGAGATTATTTAGCACGACCATTGGTGTATTAATTTGAGCTGGAAATAATTTGCAAGATAACTATACCGGACTATTTTTAGCTTATTAGTGGGATAATTCACAAGACACTTGGTGTATTAATTTGAGGTAATCAAACTGAATTTCTTCTGAAATTAAATAGTTATTTTATTACGGAATTTGAAATCGAAAAACAAGTTCATAGGGAGGTTTTTCTGGAACCTTTCATCGTTGTCAATTTGAGGATTAAACAAGGATCGATAATTCAACTGCGCCACCGGACAGTAGGTTTAAAATCAAGTTTCAAGAAAAATGCAGATTATTCTCACGATAGCAAACAGCCAATCAGGTCAAGTGAAGCAAATATTGGTGGACTTAAGTGACAAGAAGGGGAAGCTAGAAGAAAGAAAGAAAAATAAGAAGAGGAAGACCCAAGACAGAAAGAAAAGCAAGGAATACAAGAAGAACATTTTCAGATTATCGAAAAAAAATTGATGAACCTAACTTCTTCCTATCGCACTTGCAGAAGGAGCAACAGCCCACTTCGTTTTTTCTGCAAATACAGAAGGATTTGGCACATTTTAAACAATTACATGTCCCAACAAAATCAGTCGAGTATTTTCTGGCACCAATTCATTGTCTGTTACGGCAAAACCAAATTGACATGGGTCTAAAGCAGCGGTTCCCAAACTGGTGGGCGCGCCCCCCTGGGGGGGCGTGAAGCAACATTGAGGGGGGCGTAAGTCTTCTAAACAATTAATACAAATTTTAAGCTTTAAAATAAAAAATCAGGTAAAATTTGAAAAAAGATGTCTACAATCCTACAACAGCGCATACATAAGCCAAAGCAGCTTTGCCATGCGATCTGTTACTGTATTCCTTTTACCCGTTGAGTTAGTCAGAGCTGCTTAGTGTCAAAAGCGTGAACGTTCCTTTCAAAAGTGCCTGAAAACACTCGAGTCGCTCATAGTGCATCCCCCTTTCCCCTGATGCACCAAATTTCCGGGGGTGCAATAAGCTTTTTTAGGTAATGTTAATATTAAAGTATAATGATAATAGAAAGTTATCGTGTCTCAGACGCTACGTTAATACGGTACCGCTAACAATACGGTATTTTAAATGGTATTTTATAGTTGTCGGACACGAAGTCACAAAAATCCTCTAATTTCTTATTCTGTTTACATTTTGACAGCTGGATTGAGTGATCTAACCCAACTTTTTTTTGCTTGTTCGCCAACTTTTATTTATCCTGAAGATTCCTGAGTTTCAATAATTTTTTCTTGGTGTTTTTTATCGAGGAATTATTAGAAGTTGCTGTTCTTACAGACGAAAATGGAGCGTAAACTAATTTTGACATAGCATAGCGTTACGGTAAGGCATCCGCTAACTCCCGTTAGGTAGCGGGCAGCTCCGCTAACGCTAATACCGTGAGAACTGTCATACTTGTCAAATAACGTTACGGTATTTGAAATTTGGACAGCACGAGAACTCTCTAATATCTGAATTATTCTGAATTGTGTGTTTTGGAGTGACTCCGAGGAGCTCTAGAGCGACACGTTCGTTGTAACTCGATGTATAAAAGGAATACAGTAATTGCTACAGCGCACGCTCGCTGCTGCCCACTGTCATGTCCATTATTCCTCTTCCAAAGTCCAGTTCAGAGGAGTTACAGTAAGTAAAAAAAAAATGTTTTTGTATAATGGGGGAAGGAAGGGGGGCGCGACCACTCCTTGATTTCAGAAAGGGGGCGCAAAAGAAAAAAGTTTGGGAACCACTGGTCTAAAGCAACAAATACATCATCAATACAATGTTGGTGAAGATATGTGTATACAAAGAATCTTAACAAAATAATACTCCTTGCTAGGTCCTGCTTGTATGCGGCAAATCTTGAATATCTATATTCTTTGCATGATGATCCACAATCTAAGTTCATGAAAAGATTTACAAGAAGAAACATACTTGGTGCAGTTACTACGGAAAGGGTCGTCTTGTCGACCCTTTCCGTAGTAACTTCACCAAGTATGTTTTTGCAGATAGCTTCGTTCCAGTATTCCGGATATGCTGTGGATGCACCATATGAAGGGCTGCTTTTTTGGTGCCAAACTTATTCGTATTATCTGACTCAGATAGTGCGTGGATGGCTAGAAGCAAAGAGCATAATTTTTGGCCCATTTTTTGGTGAATATCATGAACAGGTGAAAGTCGCGAAGAATTACCAACTCCAGTGCGCACCCAAATAAATAGTAGCCCAGTAAAAAAAAGCTAACATCATTATCTCAGTTTCAACACTAATGAGAACGATTTTGGTGAATCCACACAAAGATGCATGTTTTGAATGAATCAGCATTCTCATTCTAAAGTCTGCCTCCTCTATTTGACAAGCAATTTAATTGTGGGTAGTTCACTTACAGTCGCGGCCATTGGAATTGGCACAAACTTTAAAAACGCACCTCGTATTGCATCAAAATCTGACTTTTTTAACAAGCCGGTAATGCCAAAATTGTGTCAAAGTAATAAGTCAGTGGCGAACTAGAACAGTTTTATAAGGTTTTTAAATAAGATTGAAAAAAAAATTACCATATTTTAACCAACGATGAAAAAGCTAAAGAAATTAGCAATTCTAATGATTTCACAAGGGAAAACTAAACTATATGTGCAGTCGCCTTAACCTTTGGTTGTGCCGGTTGTGGAAGTAGTATAATTATGAATTTGAAGAAAAAATGGGTTGAAACTGCTTTTATCACGAACCTTAGAAGGAGGAAGACGACCGAGAAAAACAATTCGACAAGAGGCTCAATCTCTTCTTGATGAGGTCGTTTCATATCCATTTATTTCGGAAATTAGAGCCAAAGAATTGAGTAGTTTTCCAGCTTCAGTTAGAACTGCGCGAAGGCCTATTAAGGAAACTGGATTTAAATGTCATTCAGCGGCTCGTAAACTATTTTCAGTGCAAAAAAATTGACAGTGTCGATTACAGTTTGCTCAGTTATTTTCTCAAGAACCTGAAAATTTCTGGAGCAATAGTTTTCTCTGACGAAAAAGTTTTTCAGTCATGCAATAGTAGCCCAACATTAAAAGTTTATAGGCCACGACGAACCAGGTATGAGAAGGACTACATCCAATTTAATCAGTCTAGCGGAAGACTTTCTGTCCATGCATGGGCCTGTATAAGTGCTGAAGGTCCAGGGCAGATTTATTTTATTGATGGACTTCTGACTAGCGACAAATACATAATTAGATGTAATGCTGCTATCCGCTAATGAACGCTTTGGCGATAATTTTACGTTCCAGCATGTAAGATCATGTTAAGAGCGAAAATATTTGGGCCTACGGCCTACCTTACAAAAAAAATCACAATACAGAATTTAGACCTGCTTCGAAACAAGATTTAAAACAGTGCATAATCAATCATCAACATTAAATAACAGACAACTACTATTTTCGTAATTCAATTTACTCAATGCCACGAAGATTGCAAGCAGTAGTTGATAAAAATGGAGGTACTACCAAATATCAAATTTGTTTGTAAGGAGTTTTTTAGTTTTTACTAGGCTAGATACAAAAGGATATTTTATTTTTTAGTTGGGTTTCAAACAATGACATTGGGTCCAAAATTGAACTTGGTGGACATAACATTACACACGCCACTGACCACTTTTGTTGGTTACAGTTTTTGTCAGATTTTGATACAATACAAGGTGCGTTTTTAAAGTTTGTGCCAATTCCAATGGCCGCGACTGTACATTCCACTTTGCACAGATGTATTACAGTTGAACGGTACCTCATCTCCTTGATCACCATAAAAGGCACTAAAGGTATTCGCAATGAACACCTGCAATTCCAGTTTGTTCTTTGTTGATCCTCAAATACTACTGAGTTGGACAGGTAAAGGAACATCTTCAGATAGTGGGAAATATCCCTAACAATGCCGGTACCTTGTCTCTGCACTCTCTGAGTGGGCTCTGGGGGGGTAAATGGAGAGGAAGATGGGCTTTGGAAAGTAGGTAATGGTAACTCACTTCGAGAACAATATTTTGTTTTTTATCAATAATACCTATTTTACATAATATCTTCAATATTTCTCCTGGTTCTGGCAAAAGGGAATAAGGGGGTAGGGGAGAGGATTAAATACCCCTCCCCGTAGAATCTTCGATGATAAATAGTGAAAATTTCATAGAAATCGATGATGTATTAACATAAAATATGAGCAGCTTTGTGTAAGAACCATATTTTGAAAATGTACTAGGTCGCGGATGTCCACTCAAACTCAATATATAGACCCTGAGATAGGGCCTGTTTAGTGGAGTAATTT